ATTTTATTTCTTTTATTTATATCCTGCCTATCTGGTCGGATCAGGACCACTCTAGGCAGCTAACAACATAAATAGTACAATAAAATTAATATATAAAACAATTATTAATTGAATGCCCTTAATTTGCAGGACTTTGATGCATGCCTTGACGGTACATAGTGTTTTTGACAGTGCTGAGAAATAATATATTTCTAGTAATGTTATTACCTTCTTACTAGACATTTTATAATGTCGTTACTTTCTCCATCTAACACATCATAGCTACTCGTTGATCCTGAAATATTAGGTTTTATGGGGACTTGGAGCTATTTAGGGCCATTTTTATATTTTTAGGCGTACTTTGTAATTAAAAATAAATTTAAAAGTAAAATTCTTAACATGTTAATGACATGAAAATATCAACCAAGAGCAACAGGATCCAGGGGAAAACTAATGTACAATAAATTGCTCTCCCCAAAAATATTTGAACTCAAGATTTTGAAATGAGCATTTGAAGACATTATCGGTTACAGACTACAAATCTCAATATTCCCCATCATGTCCAGTGGCCAACTCATTGCAGGTTATGGGAATTGTAGTCCAAACAGTAATTTGTCCAAGTTCGGGTAGAAAGAATATCCCTCTGAAATATCTCCATTCTCTCTTCAATTATCCCATTGTCCCTTATCTAAATTCTCTTTTAAAAACAAATAGTGTGGCTGAACTGATTTAATGATTCTTTCAGACCTCTAAGGCCATCACTGTTTCTCTTGTTTACAGTCTGCACTTGCGTAGTCCACAAACGCTGCCATGAACTTATCATAACAAAATGCGCTGGCTTGAAGAAGCAGGAAACCCCTGACGAGGTAAATATTTATAAAATAAATGCTCTGGATAAAAGGAAGCAGTCTGGGGAGGGAAAATGTTTTTTTTTTTTTTATATTGCCAGTTCAAACCGGCCTCTGCCACCTCCCTGGTTTGAAGGAGAGACGGGCGTTGTTTGGGTCACTCAAGACTATGGTTAATATATCTCTTTTTTTTCATTACCAGGGAATAGCTGCAGCAAATTTTATGTATTTATTTAATTAATTTATATGCCGCCCACACTACCCAAAGGTCTCCCAAATTTCTATGGGAACTGTTGTTGTTTTGTTGCTATTCATTTATGATATTTATACGTGATTAAACATTGCTGCATATTTATCTATGCTATTGCAGATAATACTATATGTCTCACATGCTAATCTTCCAAACTCTAAAGATGCAGGCATTTCTAGGGTAAGGGTCCTTTGAACAAAGTCCCTGGAGATTAAAAGCATTCTGTAAGATGTTCATTTATTACAAATACACAGGGTGAGCAAAGGTAATGATCTTTATAATCATCGTGTGCCATCCAGTCAATTCTGACGTATGGCAAACCTTTTCAGGTTTTTCTAGGTAGAGAAGTAGTTTACCATTCCCTTCTTCGGGGAAGGTGAGCTGTAACTGTGCAGCTTACCCAAGGTCACACGGGCTGGTTCTGTTTTGCATGAGGCACAGTGGGGAATTAAACACCCAACCGTTTTGCATGAGGCACGGTGGGGAATTAAACACCCAATCTCTGGCTCTGCAGCCAGATACATGAACCACTGAGCTAGTCAGCCAACTAGCATAGGTAGAAATTCATTAAAAAAAACAGGCACTTCTGTAGAGCCTGGGAAAGCTAGTTTCTAGTCTACAACTCCCATAATCGCTGGCCAGCATGGCCAATGGGGGATTTGGGGAGATGTCCAAAAAAGTTAATTTTTTATGCTCTGAATTTTTTCCTCCATTAGGTTTCAGAAAAGTGGCTGGCACCCCCTTTAGGGCTCCTTAACTGTTTCCTTGAGTCCACCCTCTTGTCCTCTCATAGGCTTCAGCTCTAGAGCTCCACATGATGGACCGGTGGGAGATGGGCATTCCGCCACATTTATGCTCTGCATTTTTTCCTCCATTGGTTTCGGAACAGTGGTTGGCACCCCCTTTAGGGCTCCAGAGAACCTCCTAGCTTAGCCCTTCCCAACTGAGGGTCTTACCTGCTGTCCCTTCTTTTCTTACATTTACACATTGAGGCAGCACATCCTGGAGGGTGGAGATAGACAAATCCTGCACTGTTGCTTATCCGCTAATAGGTATTGGTTTAACACACAGAGGAGCTTGGGCGTAATTTGGCCATATTGCATTTCTCAGGGAAGGGAGGAGGAAAGAAGAATCTCATTCAGATCCTTAAAATAAATTGCCCATGCCAAACTTGCCCTGACAGTTGTGTTGTTCATAAATGTTGCTTTTCTCCCTGTGCTGCATTTTAGCCAGCCCTTGATCCTTGTCTCCTCTTAGATCATTGCATCCTCTTAAAATTGGCTCTGGGAGGCTTAGAGATAATTACTTTAAAGTTCACGCTAAACCCGGAGTAGATTCACTGTCCCTGCAACATTGGAATCACCACCTCCACTGCCCACTACCTGAGGTGAGGGGCATGTTTTGGGGGACAGGGCAAACCATGTGAGACACAGAGTTCTGTGTACCAATAAAGCTGTGGTTCCCCAACCTTGGGTCCCCAGACATTCTTGCAGTAAAACTTGCAGAAGTCATCACCACTAGGTGTACTGGTGAGAATTTCTGGGAGTTGTAGTCCAAGAACATCTGGGGACCTACGGTTGGGAATCACTGCTGTAAAGGAAAATGGGTACAGCCTGAACTGCCAAGTGACTACTGTTGTACTCACTACCAATTTCGCCTTACTCTGCCCTTGGACAGGGCCAGCCCTAATGTCACTGCTGTAGAGGAAAATGGGTACAGCCTGAAGAGGAACTGCCAAGTGACTATGCCTTGCTCTGCCCTTGGACAGGGCCAGCCCTAATGCCCTTCGTACTCCTTCAGTACTGCTGCTAATGGGTCCAGCAGTTCTCCTACCTCTTCCAGGTATGCATTTGTAGAATAAATTGGGCTGTTCAGCAGAGCTGAGAATCTGAAGAATCTCCTTCCCATCCCATCCCCACTCCTTTTGTGGAAAGCCACTGCAGCTCTCTTTGCTACAGCCTTATTGTCCGACAAGCCTTGCCCTTCCAAATCTTTGGCATCATGCCTAAATCCCCGGGAAGTGACGTTTGTGCTTTTTAGAATGTGCTCTCTCATGCCAAAGGATGATTCCACCCCCCCCCGTACTTTACCATGCCTCTATCCAACAGGAAGATGGGAGTTCCTGTGTTAATTTATATTTTCAGGCTCCAGACTACAGGAAGCTTTAACTGCCTTTCTGAACTGGGGATCTTACTGTTTAAGAGAAGCCGCTGGAGAGAAACCAAAGACAGGAGGATCATGAAGGAGGAGGGAACTGCCACATATTCCCATCTGCAGTTGGAGTTGGCTAATTATGTAGCCAATGTGATTCATTCAGTGTTGTGCATTTTCCGTGATGCATAGTGAAGAATCATGAAGATCTTTGAAAATGACCACCAGGGATACAGGGAGAAGGTGTCAGGAAAATCATAAACGCAAAGACAAATCTCCCTGAAAGGCTGACTCGGTGCTGATATTTTTTTTCCCCTGCATATGAATGAGAATCTGCCTTGGGGAAGTTACTTTCTTGGACTACAATTCCTAGGAATGGATCTACAGTACTCCAGTCTCTCTGAATCTGGCTAAGAGATTCACAAAACTGTAGTGACTCTGCTGCCTGGAGAAATTTAATAACTTAGAAAATAGCAACTTTTATAGTCTCTGCCTCAAATGAATCAAAATGTTGTTCCTCTAACCTTGTGTTGTAATGAGCGTTCTTACTGTAAGTAGCTCCCTAAAGTTCCCTGCAAAAGAAGCCTTATCCCTCACCAGCTTGATCCTTTGGAATCAGAGGCTCAAGAAAACAAATCTGGACCCCCTGCATACAAAACGCCATGGAACTATGGTTTCCTTTGGAACCACACAACATCTTTTCATCATAGCATTTGTATACACTTTATCCCTCTTGCTTGTTCAGCCGCTAATGCTGGGTGTGATGTAGAAGTTATTGGATTCCACTCGCATATATTGGAAAAAGTAGAGAGGGTGCATCACTGACGTTAGAGTTAACTTGCTTCCTGCCAATGGTAGCTGTAAGCTTTTAAGAATCAGGACTGCTGTATTTGCATAGCACCACCTCAGTTCTTCAGAGTTGAGGATGTCATCATGCAGAGAGAAATTTGTTACCCTTGTGATGGGTTTTTGTTCTCTGATGCTTCCCTGTTTCCTCCCCCAGGTGGGCTCCCAGCGCTTCAGTGTCAACATGCCTCACAAGTTCAGTATCCACAATTACAAAGTGCCCACCTTCTGTGACCACTGTGGTTCTTTGCTCTGGGGTCTGCTGAGGCAAGGTTTACAATGCAAAGGTAAGATTCCTTTCTTCCTGGAAGCCGCCATTTTGCCATAAATGGTGCAGGCTCAACAGCATAGCTCTAAACACGTCCATTGAGGGAGGCAGAAACCCCATTATTCACTGGTGCACACGGAGTAAGAATCTGCCTTGCTTAAAATAAAACCAAATGCAACCATATCAAAGCCTGTATTCTTCTTCACCAGAAAATATTTCCAGTTCCTCAATGGCTATCTTAATATTTTTATTTGACAGGAAAAGGAAGCCTTATGTATGTCCAACACCTTTGCAAAAGTGCCAGCTTGGGAAGGATAGCTCAGTCTCTTTCCAGCCCATGTCTGTTTCCCATGTGTTCATTCAAAAGTTCATTCCATCCTGTTTCCACATCAGTCTACTATTTTTTTTTTAAAAAAAAGCTATACAAAGAGTCATTTAAACTGAATACATTCACTCTCAAAATAATATTTTTATACTTGGTTTCTTTTTAAATTTGCACTTTTGAGTCCCCCCCCCTTTTTAAAAATTTCTTGTTTTTCTTTTTTGAGCTAGGAACTACATCACAAAATTTGGAAAAATGTGATCCAAAGGATCACCATGTTCTGATCCATGCATGGTACAGAAAGAGCAAATCATACCAGTTTAAAAATGCAGAGCAAACAAAATCCCTCATCATCCATGGTTGCAGCATAGTCTTCTTAGCAAACTGAGCAGGACTTAGAATTTTTCCGAAATGCAATCCCATGTTTATTTTCATGGCCACTTTTTTGTTCTTTGCCACATGGGAAATAAGGAACGTGCCTTATATTGGTTCAAACGGCTCATCCACGTAGCCCAGTGAGGTTGACACTTAGTGGCATTAGTTCTCTGTGGATTCTCTCCTATCCTTCTCTGCAGATCGCAAGTGCTCATTCCATCTGTTTCCACATCCATGGTCTCATCCAAGCACTAACCGTGCCTCACCCTGCTTAGCTTCTGAAATTAAATGAGCTTGTGAAATCAAATCCAAATCAAATTAGATGTGTTCAAAGCATGTCAGGAAAGCCCCAAGAGCTGCCATATCTGGATTCCTGTTTGCTTGTCTGTCTGTGGCACATGGAACCGAAAATATTCCAGAAAGGAAGAACAGTATAAATTGATTTTTATTTTGGCAGCTGCTGCCTACCCACCATCTTGGCATGTTCAGTTCTTGGCAGCTCAGTGGTGGTTAAGGCTGCTTCCATGCCTCCTCATTTTTGCTAATTGAATGGCTTGAGTTCTCCAGAAAATCTTTTAGATTTAGGATGCTTTGGGAATTTGCAGAATGGTTCTAATGTGGGCAGTCACAAAGCTCAAAGACAGTTCTGTAGGATTTATGTAGTTATGAAGAAAACTGGCCCACAATGTTTTGCTGCCCGGTATGGAGGACCAAAAAGCATGGAGGCCCATACAGAGCCTGATCCGAGTAGCTGTTGAATATTTTTTCCAGTGCCGGCTGTCCCTGCTATGTTTAGGGAAAACAAATGAGCTTAAGGGCACAATTAGACTGGAGAGAACCCATCCAGCTCTGCCTGCCAACTTTTTACTGCCCTCCCTTACTTTTTGGGATTTGCTGCTTCAAGTGTTTATTAAGAGAACTCAGTCCACAGATTTGGGACTTAGGGTGGTTTCTTGGACGAAGGTGGTAAAATCCAGGCTGCAGGCATTCCTGTAGAATTTTCTCCCCCTGTGCCTTCATAGGGGACCAGGGTTGAACAAATTTAAGTGTTTGAAAACCAATCTGTTCAACTTGGAGCCATAGGTATCAGGTGGAGGAGAGGAGCGTGTTTGGTGTATTTTAGTCTGAACTGTCTAATTGGTTTCTTGGTAGTTAGTTTAACTCTTCTTGGATGACTGCCTGTTCCCATGAGTTTTATCTTGTGTGTGTGTGTGTGTTTGTACAAACATTTATATATGGATATACACTGGTGCCTCGCTTAATGAGCGCACCGTACAACGACGAAATCGCATAGCGATCCCTTTTTTGGGATCGCTAATGCAATCGCTCAACGACGTTAGATAGGGCGAAACTCGCTTTGCGAAGATCGGCAAGCGTTTCGCTTACCGATCTTCGCAAAACAAAGCCCCAACAATCCGCTGTTTGGCGGACAAAATGGCCACCGGAAGCCCCAAAATGGCCGCGCGCAGCGTTTTCGCGCCGTCCCCTCGCTTAACGAGGGCGCGAAAATGGCTGCCGGCCATAGGAAGCATCACTGAACGGTGAGTTTTCGGCCCATTTGGAATGGTTTTTTTTGATCCGTGCAGCGATGTTTCACTATAGCAGAGATTAATCCGGAACGGATTAACCTCGCTATACAAGGCACCACTGTTATATATTGATATATGTGCATATATAAGAGAGATAGAGAGATTAATGTTTATTAAACACTGTGGTTGCATATTTTGTATGGTTTATTGAATGCACTCTGGTGTAGAGCACAATATAAAGAAATACTTTATTGATCTTGTTGTTGTTACACAGTAGCAACCTCACTGCCTAATGATAACAGGAAGACAGTAAACCCAGGGCCCACCCCCATCCTCTTCAAACTATTATCCACCCCAGAAGTGCATATATAAGAGAGGTAGAGAGATTAACGTTTATTAAACATTGTGGTTGCATATTTTGTATGGTTTATCAAATGCACTCTGGTGTAGAGCACAATATAAAGAAATACTTTATTGATCTTGTTACACAGTAGCAACCTCACTGCCTAATGATAACAGGAAGACAGTAAACCCAGGGCACACCCCCATCCTCTTCAAACTATTATCCACCCCAGAAATATACCTCTGATTACTAGTTCCTGGGGCGAACCAACAGTGGGGGCTTCTGATGTCATATGCTTCTCATAGGTGCCCCAGAGGCATCTAGTTGGCTACTGGTGGAAAATGAATTAAAACTTAAAAAGACCTTTTCTCTGAATATATAAGCCAACAGGGCTACTCCTGTTTTGTGATCTTATGTGACATTGATCAGCCTCAGTTTCTCTTTACAGGGGCAGATGTGTGTTTCTCTTAAAAGGAGGGTTAAAGTGAATCACAGCATGGATGTTATCACAAATAAGCACAAATTTCCTTCAGTGGAATTAGAGCAATCATCTAATTTTCCTTACTTCCCCCACCCAACCCCTTTCAGTCAGTGTATATAAAATTCAGGGTCAAACAATAAATTAGAGCAGAGGTTGTCAACCCCTGGTCCACAGCCCAGTGCCGGTCTGTGGCCTGAGCCAGACCGGGCCATGAAGACAGACCTTCCCTCCTGCATGCACTCCCTTCCCCACAGCTGCTTTGCACATGCACGTGCCAGTGCCAGTGTGAGTGCTCTCCCACCACTTCGCGCATGCACCAGAGAGAGAGAGCACACGAGCGCGCAGGGGGAGGTCCCGCCTTCCTCAGAGGCTCACAGCGCCAGTGTGAGCGCTCTCCCACCACTTCACGCATGCACCAGAGAGAGAGAGAGAGAAAGAGCACACGAGCGCGTGGGGGGAGGTCCCGCCTTCCTCAGAGGCTCAGCCGGTCTGCAGTCCCAAAAAAGTTGGGGACTGCTGCATTAGAGAACATGAGATTTTCACATCTTTTCCAGTTTGCAAATTAACATGCCCTGTCTTGCTTTTTGGTCTTCTGGACATAAGAATGGTTTCTCAGACATAAGAGTCCAGTGGAATCATATCTCTGAAACAATATAGTTTCAGCTAGAATTATGTGTTATTCTAATTCTATAATGTGTAGTTTGAGTGTAGATATTGTGTACCCATTTTTGTTCCTTTATCCTCCACAAGAGGGCAGTCTAATATAAGGGAAGTGAAAGTACTCAGCTGCCAGAATGATAAGAGCCTGGATGGTTTTATATATTTAAAGACAGAACTCCCCAACATTTTGTCATATGTATATATTAATAGTCATAGTTAAGACCTTCCCCATGTTCTTTTAACAAAAGTAGATAGTTATTTAATTCTGTCTTTTTCTGTCTGGGCAGAAACAAATGAAACATCCTCTTTGAAATTTGAAGCAGAGCTCCCTTAACAGTTAAAAAGCATTGGTTTTTCCTCCCGTGAGATTTTACAGCTTTGCTAGTTGTTAGCTTGCCTTCTATTCAGTGATTAGTCACTGGGAAATAAGCACAGAATTCATTTGTAGGCTTATTGCATAGACCCCAATTTCGGGAGCAATTTGATCACCTAATTGTGAAGCTGGCTTCTGTTTGTGTCCTCCACCCTCCTTTGGGAAGCTTGCAAATGTTCTTCATTACTAGTGTTCTAGTGACATGTCACTAATGGTATCTATATATATATCTATATCTATCTGTATCTATATATCTATATCTATATCTATCTCTCTATCTCTATCTCTATCTCTATCTCTATCTCTATCTCTATCTATCTATCTATCTATCTATCTATCTATCTATCTATCTATCTATCTATCTATCTATTTATCTATCTATCTATCTATCTATCTATCTATCTATCTATAAGAATTACAACATGATTAGATGTAAACTCACTTCAAAAGTAATCCCAGTTATGCCCTTAAAAGCAATGAGCCACCATAAAACCATTACTTGCAATGCATTATTTTCAGAGCCAGGACATGGGAACTGGAATTCCCAGCTACACTAGCAAAACAGTTCTAACAAATTTAGTCCAACACATTTAGGAAGCACCAGGCTGAAGATGACTGTTTTTGGACACAAGATGCTGTGAACCAAACCATGACAAATGAGCAACTTAGTTCTTTCCTACTGAAAGCATTTTCTTATTGCTGAGAATGTTTCTTCCTGCAGGACTTTGATTTATGCACAGCAGGGTGGATAAAAAATAAATGATTTTAAAATATTAAATTGATTTAAACCATGACTTAAATTTTAAAAGCCTATTGTTTTAAATTAAATTGTCCAACAGTCTTATTCTTTTAAATTTTAATTGTGATTTAAGTCATATCTATTATGGATATCAAGACAGCATAATGTAATTTAACCCTGGATCCGTCCCCCCCTGTTCCTTTGCACTCCTCCTCTTTTCCCTTGTTTTAAACTACAGTTTGCAAGATGAATGTACATAGACGCTGTGAAACAAATGTGGCGCCAAACTGCGGAGTGGATGCTCGAGGGATCGCTAAAGTCCTTGCAGATCTTGGTGTCACTCCGGATAAGATTACTAACAGTGGACAAAGGAGGAAGAAGGTAACCACCTTAAAGGCATTTAATTTACTTTTCTTCACTTTTACAACGTAGAAATATGTACAAAAATTAGATATGTACAAACAAGTGCAAAAATGTGCACATTTTCAGAAAAGAAAGATACAAAGATTACCAAGAACTTCCCCACTGGGAGGGCTGGGAGGCTGTGTTTGCACCCGATGCAGAAAAGGGACAAAATAAGAATCCCAGAGGGAAGCTGAGAAGTTCAATGAGATTAAGGCTAACAGAATTCCTCAGTCCTAGGGAGCAGGTCAGGACATCTGGTTTCAGCAAGAGATCTTGCATATGGAGTTGTATATGGAATTTCCTTGATTATACTGGATTAGACCGATTTCAAACCTCCACTGCCTTGTGGCTATATCCACTGATGGAAAAGGCTTCAGGAGTAAACCTCGAGGCAAAATCCAGAGCCGGAGTCCCGGACGCAATTCGTGTCTTTCTGACCACTCGATTTCGATTTCGAAACCTTTATTGGCGTTTGTGTCTTTCTGACAACTCCTGCGACGTCACTGGAACCAGTTGTATTGGCTCTTGCCTTTCCATTGGACTATTTCAGTGATGTGGAGAGGGGGGATTTGCTGCTTGGGTAACAATCTATCCTCCATATGATTTTACCCAGGCTTCGTGCTCTGGAGAGGACATTCCAGCTTTGCATACAGCGTCAAAGTCCTCCATACACAGCACATCACCATAGTCTCTTGAAACTGAAGGATGCCATGAACTTTATTCTTGCATTTATATGCCGCCTTTCTTCCAGTGAACTGAAAATGGCAAACATAACTTGCCTATCGCACAGTCATAGCCTAGCGCTGTGGGATAGGTCAGACCCAGTGTCTCAGGCATGTGCTCACAGGGGCACAAGGTCACTGAGTGAATTTAATGATGGTTGATTGGGGACACGAAGGTGGATCTTAGGCAGCAAGGATGACCTCTTGGAAAGAGAGCTCTGGGCAAGGAATGCCTTTGGTTTTTATTTATTTATTTGTGTATTCACTCATTCATTCATGTGGTGCACTATTCTAGGCTGTTTACAACAATAAATAAAACATACTAATAAAACTATGAATAAAACAACTTTATTCTTGCATTTATATACCGCCTTTCTTCCAGTGAGCTGAAAATGGCAAACATGACTTGCCTATCGCACAGTCATAGCCTAGTGCTGTGGGATAGGTCAGACCCAGTGTCTCAGGCATGTGCTCACAGGGGCACAAGGTCACTGAGTGAATTTAATGATGGTTGATTGGGGACACGAAGGTGGATCTTAGGCAGCAAGGATGACCTCTTGGAAAGAGAGCTCTGGGCAAGGAATGCCTTTGGTTTTTATTTATTTATTTGTGTATTCACTCATTCATTCATGTGGTGCACTATTCTAGGCTGTTTACAACAATAAATAAAACATACTAATAAAACTATGAATAAAACAATGAGGAATTAGGAAATTAAAACATTCGACAGAATGGAACAAATGGCACCAAAGGCAGTTTTCAATATATAATACCAGGACAAGAGGGATAATCAAAAGCAGCATGTTAAGTTGTCTTCTAAATGTTAAGAGGCTGGGGGTCAGGCATAGCTCCAGCGGCAGCCGGTTCCACAAATTTTGGTGCCACCGCAAAAAAAGTCTTGACCTCTAGTGAATGCCTTTTGAGCTTCCCTTGCAGTGGGTTCTTAGAAGAGCATACAGTAGGCCGGGAGGATCTGGTAGGTCGGACGGATGACATTGGGGAGAGACGATTCAGTTTGGTCCCAAACTGTAAAGGGCTTTATACATCAGAATCTTGAACCTGATCCATTAGTATGTTTTATTTATTGTTGTAAACAGGCTAGAAGAGTGCACCACATGAATGAATGAATGAATGAATGAATGAATGAATGAATGAATGAATGAATGAATG